GGCCACTCATTATTAACTGGTGACTACTGTATACTTTAGGTCTCTATAGATTCAGTCCCGACTAGGATTCCATGAACTAAGAATACATCAGAGAACTCACGACGGTAAAGTGAAGACCCAGTACTGTCCATTGGTATAAACATTAGTATAAACTACTACTCTGGCCAGGGTCGAGACACCACTTTAACCAAGGATTTGTTTGTAACCATGACTAGGTGAGCACCGGCTCTCTGGCGTCAGCTCACTCTTAGAGCAAACCTTAAAGTAAACCGGTAACTTCCTCAGCTACAACAGGTTGTGTGAGCAGCGAGGGAGGTGGGAGAGGAGTCGCTGTGGGGAGGGCGAGCTGCAGTTCCCAGGCCTTCATGTGCCTTGTGTTCCGAGTCTGGCAGAATCAGATTAAAGTGCTGGGTTGGCTGCATGGCTGCATGGCTGCATGGCTGCATGGCTGCATGGCTGCAGGAAGGTCTAATAAGAATTTTTAAGCAGCTGGTACATCTGTGATCTCAGAATTTGGGAGGTTGGGGCAAAGAGGATCAGGAGTTTAAGGTCAGCTTAAACTACATAATGGATTGAGGATGGCTTTGACTACATAAGAGCTGTCTAAACAACCCCTCAGGACCCCCCAAAGATAATATACAGTGACTGTGTAATCTCTGAGACGAGGCAATCTTTTGAGAAGGCCAGTGAAAGACAATGAAGAGTGGTTCCACAGAACAGTTTCTTCTTTCATTGATTTTTAACTACATGGCTGTGAGACGTCTACAGTGTAAAGGGGAAATCTGACCCAAACCCCAGTCTACGTTGTATCACAGCTCTGTCACTAATTTAGTCATTAGACAATTTTCCTTGTCATCCTGTGTCCATGACTGACAACAGTACCCTACATCTAGATGCCATTTCACAGCTCTTCCAGAGCTTTCTGCATGGAGGTGCTTATGCCTTCCCCAGAGTGCTATACACGTTCAAAACAGGGAGTTTCAATTTGCAAATGCCCACCCATCAATCAAGAGAAAGATCAGAAGTTGGCCAACGGCTGTCAAGATGACTCAGCAGGTAAAGGGACTTGCTGCCTAACCTTATGACCAAAGTTCAGTCCCTGGAATCCATAGTAGAAGGAGAGAACTGATTTCTGAAAGTTGTCCTCTATTTACACACACACACACACACACACACACACACACACACACACACACACACACACAGAGAGAGAGAGAGAGAGAGAGAGACACATTTGCTCTCTCTCTCCCTCCCTCTCTCCTTCTCTCTTCACACACACACACACACACACACAC